CTTTTTGTGAGCATCCTTTCCTTTTCGCCGAAGATCCCCCTTGCAGGGGGACACGCCCGACTCGAGGCTGGTGGCGGTGTCTTGGCTGGAGCTCTCCCAACTCTTCACCGGTGCCGTCCGCTGGCCTACCTGGCCCAGCCAGCCGCGCGCAGCCCCGTCGCCACACTTCCAGCGCCGGCCGCCACGCCAACTGCAGGCCACCTGCACGGGAGCACCCACGGAGGGGAGGCCCGTGGGTCAGCAAGCAGTGGCGGGGCGTGCTGGCGCGCCTACGGTGCCGTTTTTGGTGCATGCTCCGCGTGCGGATCATGCATTAAGATTGCAGGGATTGAGTGCTAAAAACAACGATGAGTTCATGCATGCATGCATTCATAAATGAATCATGTATTAATCATCATCTATGTTTAAAATCCTATGTCTTCAAACCTGCCCTGTATAGTCCTACCAAGCAATGTTCTGAGAACCTTGTGTGGTCTCCACGAAGTGTCCTTAGAACATTTCTGGTGGAGCCTGTCTTGCTTTAACACACCGGGTTGATGTTCTAAGAGCAGTGTTCTTGTTCTCAGAACATTTCGGGGTTCTAAGAACACTTCGTGGTAGGACTATAGGAATGCTGGGACGGTCGGTCCCTGCTCAAGGTCAGGCGATTTGGAGCAGGAGGGGCGGCCATTGTGGTCTACAGAGGGCAGCTTTAACTCGTGGCTGCCGCCCGGGACGAGGACGACGACGAGGACGACGACGACGACGACGGCAAAGCGACAGACAGGAGGCGGATGGGGAGCGGAGGATTGGATGAAGAGCTTGAGTGGGAGGAGGAGGAGCGGTCAGGCATCGAAGAAACATACACGTCAATGACAGAAACCTTCGGAGCTCCGCGCGGAGTGCTTGGATCCGCGCTGGGGCCCCCTGGCGGCGCCTCCGACGCCACCCCTGGCGCGCTCCGCGCGCCAGGGAGGGGGGTGTGCCAGCGCGGAGCCAAGAACCCCGCGCGAAGCGTCCGAAGCTCATGATGATGCCGTTTTACGTTCCTCCGAGGGGACCAGCCCGATTGCCCGCACTTCACCCTGCCAGTCCCACCGCAGCAGTACCACGTACCACCCACGAGTGCTATAGGTGTTTTGTTGAGGCTCAGCTGGCTCCGTCTGCCAGTGGGGGACACTGGCTACAACTTTGCTTGGGGCCGTTTGGGCCATTCTGTAGTGGAGCATGTGTTATTCCCACTGTGGTCTGCAGGGAGCAACTTTACCGCTTGGCCGCCGCCCGCAACTATCTCAGCAGTTAGCCTCTCACCCTTTCCGTTTTACGGCTATGGTTATGTTCTCCCCGCTCCGTCACGGGTTGCTTGCTAACTTATTACACGCTTTTGCGGGTACTTCGTCTTGTTGCGATTTCTCATTGCCCATCTTGTTGGCCGCCGCACAAGCTTGCAGATGCTTGCAGATTTTTTTGTGCAGGCCACAGCGCCTAAGTCGGTTTCAATGCCACGCCGTTATTTTGATCTACTGGCGAAAAAGCGGAGAAGGAGGCGGTGACGACGACGACGACGATTACGACGACGACGATGACGACGACGACGACGGCGACGACGACTACGACGGCGACAACGACGACGAGGACGGCAAAACCACAACGGATGCGGAGGGGAACGGAGGAGAAGATGAAGTTCACGAGTTGGAGGAGGAGGAAGGGGGCTGCCAGGAGTCGAAGAAACATACACGTCAGTAACATAATTTGTTGGAGCTCCGTATGGATTTCTAGGATCCGTGCAGACTGACGCTACTACCCTTGTTGACCCAAGCTTGCCTCATGGAAAAAGGCGGAGAAGGAGGGCGACGATGACGACAAGAAGGAGGGCGACGATGACGACGAAGACGACGACGACGACGACGACAACGACGACGACGACAATTATGACGACGATTACGACGGCCAAACGAGAAACAAAA